TTTTCGTGCTATATTTAAGTGCAAGGTGCAGAATAGACATAATTTAAATAAATAAAATAACTACCATTAGATAATATGTTATTTGTAATAATGTATTCCAAAGTGATCAGATCGGAGGAAATGCAAAACCGCGGTGTATGMCGTTTAATAATATAAAAAAACACGTAAAATAATAAATGCACTGAGCTAGGTAATTCGCGAGCAGTGTTTAAAAAAAAAATGATCCAATAATTCTTACCTACTGGCGAAGCAGCGTCGGAGTTGTTGTGTGTAACACGAAGATAATACGGTCGACGTTGGCGTAGACTGTTGACCGCGGAGATGGTTGCAATTAGCCGAAGATCGCGCACTGTCCGGTCGATGTGTCGATAATCGATCGTCACTGGAGACTGCAGGAGTAAGTAAAACTGGTGCAGCGTGTACTACCGATATGCCGCCGATAATGGCGATCTCGGGTCTTTTGGGCAGACACTTTTTGCAGTGCGTAGGGTGGTGGTGGAAGGGACGGCTGCGGTGGCGTTACCAGCGGCGAACTGCGGCGGTGATGGTCATTGGTCGTGTCGGTGGTGATCTGTACGTTATTATAAGTGTACCTAAGCATATTGAATACAACTAGGAAAACGAAACGTGTTTCATGACCACCCCCTGCCCCGCCGTTAAACCAACCCCCCCTGCCAACCGATCCTACCGCCGAATCATCCTCTGGGACTGACGACGGGTCTCACATTCGTACAAATATATATATATATATATATATATATATATAGGAGTAATGGAGAAGCATTGTACTCGAGTACACAAACAATATACCATATATAGCTAGGTATAGGAATTATAATAATATTGTGGTGTGCACGTTTTATTTACTATTGATTATTAACATTTTTTTTTTTGTCTCGTCTATATATGTATATAAACAATAGGTTTTTATTTGTGATGTAGGCCCAGGTCGGACACCGCTGGACTTCTAGCAATATAGTATTATAATGGTGATCGGCAGGTATCTATTGTCGTTTGCAAATCTTCGTATGGGAAATCGGTTCGGCGAAAAACCCGTTTCTACCCRAAAAATCACACATCTCACTTTTTCCCACCATAGATAGATTCGCAGACACCATTTTAGTGTTCCTATTATTATCATTGGATTATAAGTATTGTTATTTTTTATGTATAATAATAATAATAATAATAATAATAATAATAATATTGTTTCGTAAGGGCTGCAGGGAGAGGTACACTGCGTGTTTATTAGAAATTAGAATACAACAACGAGGTGCCCAAATTAGAATTTTGAGAAATCTAAATAATAACTAATACGAGCCTTATTGGGGCGGTGTTCGAATAAAATTTAAACGAACACACGCCTATTATAGGGACCTATAAAAGTTATGGCTAAAGGGTTCGTTTTGGGGCAACATAACTACTAACACGATAAATATGGACGAGATAGGTAATGTGCATGCATAAACATAAATTGTTCAACTCTCCACGTGTTGAAAACTTTTTCGGTCCTTTGGTTCGGTTTTAACGACAATGGTTGGACGACGTTAATTCATTTTTTTAGGTAGCATCGTGCGCGTGGACTGTAAAATTAAATTTTTGTTTAGCAACTCAAATTCGCGGTGATCGTATAAAAGTCATAATAACTGCAGGCATCATATTCGAATAACGTCATTGTTAAAACCTCTTGTTTACATAACTAGTTAATCCAATTGTAAACTAATAACCATCATGATATTGATGCTGTAACAATAAAAAAAAATACCATACTGCAATGAACGTGAGATGATTACGTTAAAACAAAATATATTATAATTAGATGGTACCTACACGGCTACACATTAAATTTTAACTGAAAAATGTTATGTCTCTGCGTGATCGATCACGATTATTTTTTGGTCTTTAAAACGATACTATATAGTTATCTAATAAAAATTTAATAAAATCAAACGATCATTAGGCATCGATAACAATGAAAAGATTTCGTTCCACTTTTTATATTGACCCCTTACAAGTGGTATTTATGTGGCAGGTAGTGCACGTGGATTCAGTGAAAATGTAACATATTGTGGTACGTTCGATAATCTTCGAATCGTCGTACCCACTGTATGATTGAAATTCAGTTTATTTTTTATTTTTTGCATTATTTAATCAYTACGGTTTTAATAGAATACTTCTGTTTGTATTTACACTAACTCAACTGATGAATACAAACACGGCGGTAGATACATTGAAAGTGACCTTATAACGGTGGTCATAATTGTCATGTACAAACGGACAAAATAAACGCAAGTGCACGGAARTAATGTATTTCAAATGATGTAAGTCGAGTTCGTTTTTTTCAGTGCATGTGCAATTGTTGTCATTATATTGTGATATAGGTATTTCAATTAACAAGTCAACAGTGAATATTATTGTGTCTATAGACTTGTTAATCGTTATTTTATATCGTAGTAACATAAATAAAATAATCAKAGTTTATKTTTTATTATTTTTCATCGAAAACCTGTTTTTAATCAATCATTTTACAATTTTATTCTTCGATAAAATATGAAAATACATAAAAAAATTGTTTGTTTTTGGAAATAATAATAATAAACAAATACATATTCATACAGTTCATGACATATTATGGTAAAGATTAAAACACTATGTCAAATTAAAAAAAAAATGTTCTACGTACCGAAATTATACAAAGTAAACAATTAAAAAATTGGTACGAGATGGTACATTGTGTAACGCATTRAAATAATAAACAACAAAATAAATATTATAGTCATAATAATAATTATGGAATGGAAAAATTAACAACATTAGCATTAAAAGAAAAAACCAATTAACTTTAATTTTTAATTTAATTTATATTTCTAAGTTTATATTATAATATTATTATTACTATAATATAATATATATAGTTAACTTTTTCATGTGAATCAAACTATTTCCGTAGGTATGGTATTAAGTGCACTGCGAAAATATTTATTATTTTGATTAATTGACATGCCATTTACTTAATGTGGGATAAAAACTAGACATTTTTTTTTTTTTAAACAACCTTATTTACGTTTTAAAAAAATTATATTATATAATATATTATAATGTATCATGCGTGTGTTCAAAAAACGAACAGACCGAATTATTTTCTAAAATTTGACTAGATTTAATGCTACAATTTTACATTAATAATGACAATGATATCTATATAAAAAAAAAAAAACAAATATAAACAATAATAATAATAATAAAAAATAAAAACATGTGTAGAGATACTACAAGATAATTCTCGGAGGGTAYGACGACTATCCGTGTTGTTTCTGCGTATGCGCGACGTATTACCCGACCCGACGGTACCCGCAAACCTGGATGCCCTACTTAATGTGATTATCATTATAATATTTGGTCTTGGAAATCCAACAAACGGATTGAGCGCATAAATCGATAACATATTATATTATTGTAATAATATTCTGTTAGACGTATCGATCGACAGTACCTACAGAGAATATAACGGCAACGGAGKWCCATCATCGCGTACGACGATCATATTATTATACTGATATTGTTATAATATTAAATTTCCACGCTTTACAACTATTACATATTAACCTATATAATATTATATTGTAATTAAAACGATTTTTTGGCTCCGACTTACACGTTAATAATAATAATAATAAAAAAAAACACACAAACAAACAAACTTGAGGCTTGCCATACCTAATAATAATAAAATTATGTACAAAAAAAAATAAATCAATCGGATTTATTTTCTTCTTCCGTTTTCCGGTTGTACGCCGACGAAAAGACGACACCCGTCGCATGGACAACTAGTCGGGACCCGCAGCCCCGACCGACGTTCGTCGTCATGGCGAGAACACCCGGAGGCTGCGCAACAGTTTCGCCAGCACGTTGGCCAGCCCCTCGGCGTGCCTGGTGAGCGTTTCCGTGCACACGTCCGTGTCCACCAGCAGGCCGTGGAACGTGCGCATCACGTCGGCAACCTTGAGTATTAGGTTGCGGGTCTGTAGCGGCGACGACGTGTGCCTGGTCATGTTGCCGCTGAGCACGGTCATCCGGCGCAGTTGCGTCACGCATTGCGACAGGTTCGCCTGGAACTCGGCGCTCCTCGGGTTCATGTAGCACCGAATCAGGATTTTCGAGGACGTCACCAGTTGCCTGGCTTCTTGGCACAGTATGTCTTTGGCTTCCTGCATTTGGGCCACGCGCAAAAAATAAATTAATACCATCATGCCACGTTAWATGTTATATACACACTGCCGTGTGTTGTACCTATACAAGTTTGTGTCGGCGATAGGAGAACGCCGATCCCGATCACACCCTCGCCAGTGCCCACCCGTCCGTCCGTTGCTAACTTTGCCGATTGCGAGTAAAAGGTAGGTTATCCCTGGTCATCTTATATATTATGCCTCTGCACCTAACCCGCAGCAGCTAATACGCCTGCTCGGTGCTATCAGAGAGCTTGCCGCGATAAATGTCTTGGCGAACGTCCACAAACGCTTTTGGATATTTCGAGACCATATATTTTATGTCCTACCACGGTCTATTATATATAACAATTACATCGCGTAGATGCTGTACACCTCGTTTATGGCAAGTGTACCTGCTACTAAAATTTAATTTATATTTTACACCTAATGCGTGTTATTGCGATCCATCATTTCGTGCACTTGTATATATATATATATATAGTAGCTACGGGTTACGGGTATCAGGCTACTAGTACACAGGTAATGTAATATGATAAATAAAATTTGGATTTGTTCGGTATAAGCTGTAAGCAGTCTGTATACAAGACTGTCCGTACTTAAGTCTTAAAGTCTTAACAAGGATATCTAATTAATTAGTAATTGCTCGTCTAGTTTCAACGGTTAAGCATAAAATCATACGGTATATTATTATGATTTAAAAATAGTATATTGTTACGCTGTATCGGTAACTACGCCGAGTCGAGTGCCGAAATTAAAGACAATACAATATATGTGTCAACTCGACTAGAATTAGATTAAATTAATTCGCGAGATCTACCTACATAGAGTATGGCGGCTGAATAAATAACAAAATTGCGACGAATAGGGAGACTTTATATTAAAAGTTTCACGACGTGCAGGTTTAATAATTGCCTAGAAAATTTAAAAACTCACGTGTACGTCACGAGCATAAAGTTTTGAACAGAATATTATGTAATGATGTTATTACGCTACAATAGGTGTGTATAGTGAATACCCAGAGTGATGGGTGACACACCCACTCACACATTGCATGTAATATGTTTAGGTACTACACCCGCATATCACTATTATATACACAAGTACCTATCACTATATTAACAAATCGAATACCTACCTTTAATTGAAATATTAATTTTCTACTCTTAAACAAAATACAAATTATCGAAAACGAAAACTATATATTTAGTTTTAGATTCTAATATTTTGTAACCAAATAGTTATATTTTTTTGTTTTAAAWTTTTTTTTCTGTGAATAACATTTCGACTAGAAGTTTTGTTTTCTAATCAATACAAGCGTGTGCAGTGTACKCGCCCATTTTTAGTAGAAGATTTTACCTAATTAGAGTGTTTTAGAGGTGATTATTCGATACTATCKTAGTATCGTCTATCGATAAATTCGGAGCAAAATAACTATCGGTATCAAAAAATTACGGGAAAACATCATTTTGATAAAATCGAGTTTTGTTATCTTAATTATAAACGATTCTAAAATGCTGAAATGTACACAGAATACGTAATTTAATACTATACATTTTCTGGTATTGAAACATTAAAAATTCTTTTTGAAATGTTGTGGTTTTTATACGCAATATTATATAATATTTTATTCCTTCATTTGGTAGGTATTGTGGTTTTATTATGCTACCTAAACACATCAAGTATATCACATTAAAATCAATTATTATTTTATGTATATTAAACCCAAACCACGATAAAAATTGTTTTATAGAATGTAATGATTACTAATRAAGTAATGAACTATCATTGTTTTTAATTACAATACATCAATAATTAGAGTGACCTAATAAAAAATAAAAAACCTATACCTTTTCAAACCTACAGTGAAGCGGGTCACCCGGTTTTTTTTCAGTATTATGGGTGAATTAATGAAAAAAAAATGAAATACTTTTCCGAAACATTAACTGAGAAAAACATTTCTGACGGWAACAAACACGACGAGATTTAACATATATAACCTGAATAATATAATATGCATAATTAAATGATTCGTTTACCTGAAACTTGGCTTCGTCYAGGTGCGTGCCGCCGCCTTGAGCTTGGGCCGTGTTACACTGTTCACCGAACTCGTTCAATCTGCCCGTTAGTTCGTTGATAACAGCAACCGCGTCCCTATTGGTCGAATAGCAACCGTTCCGCATCAGCGTTTCCTGTATCGCACAAAAATGTGTGATATTATATCATGYGGATGGTGAATGAGACATGAATATAATATATATCAAAACCATCAGAAACCCAAAAAACGCATGGACCAAAAGGACCAAGCGTGCGGAATCGTAATATTAAAAACTTTTCAAAATCCCAATAAAATTACGAAGTAGTTTGCCCTGTGGTCAACAGCAGTAGCCAAATATCAATTTGTATCCCCAAACCTCTAATGGCTTAATATTAAGGCATATCACATAGCCGTTCTAAGATAAATTTGGATTCCGCATTGTYTTAGTTCAGATCCYAATGACAACTTTTGAACAAGTTTTTGACATTAATTTATTAAAATCTATAATTATACCTTATTTTTTAATTGCTACTCTTTTTCAGATAAATAAATGAAAATGTTGTTCGAAGGATTTAAAGTAGCTGTATATTCCGTATGCATAAAATATTATATCTTTCAAATACTTTTTCAATATCAAAGTTTAAGAAATGTTTGATTTTAATACCTAATGCTTGAATAACTTATACAATATCTCTCGTAAGTCGATCTTTCTGGAATTAAATTTAAAAGTTTTTMGTAAAGCCACGCGTGCTCATATATTAAAATAATTGATAACTTAAGGATGGCGATTGTGCGCATACTGCAGTTGGTAACTTTCCTTAAAATCACGATGTTGATGTAAGACAATAAAACCGTATAATTATAGCGTCCTCAGCCTAAAAATGCGACATATGCGAATCACGCGCACAAAAAATAGAACGCAATAATGTGCGAAAATCAAATTTTTAAATTAACATTTCAACAATAATAACTAACAAATACCTCTATATATRACATTAATAATTGAACTATATTCAAAACAATAGATAGTGTACACAATTATTATACGCATGTAGACACATACCTGCGACGGCATCGGCGGCAGCGGTGGTTTCGTCGAAAGCGTCGAGTCCACCCTGGGCGGGACCTTGGGTTTGACGCGGGGTAGCGTCATGTTCTGCGCCCGGGTGGGCAGGCACGGCGGCTGTGAGTCCGGGCTCCGCTGTCTGGGCCTCGAACAGCACGAGAAACCGGGCAGCGTCTTCTCGTTGGTGGCCGCGCATGGACCGTCCGGCGTGGTGGCCGCGCTGGCAGACGTCCCGGCGACAGCGGGCTTTGCCTGGACGACGCTTCGGCGGCAGCGGTCGACCGTCTCGTCACCGGAGCCGACTGGTCGTCGGTGTTGGTGTTCGGCGACGCCGTCCGCGGCCGTCGACGTCGATACCAACGGCGGTACCACCGCTTTGGGAGGGGGTGGCGGTATTATGAACGACGATATCTCTTCGGATGTCAGCACCGCGTTGGACCGCTTCTCTTCCGGCCGCCCGTCACCGGAAGCCTGTTGCAAGGGCGGYGGTGGTATGGTCATTGTGGCCAGGAACGACTCTAGGTCCAGGCTCATGAGATTCGTGTGGTTTTTGAACCCGTTATCCAGTACAGAGTCTAAATTATATGAAAAACGCCACTTTGTAAAAATCAATGTCGAGAGAGCATGACCGCGTATCACTCGTGAGTGATCCATTTAAACGTAAAGCACTCATTATTTCAAAAACTATAAAGTTTTTAAAAATATTTTTCACCCAGTTTTATCGTTCGTCCTTTCCCAACGTGCAGTAACGCATTGTGATCTTTGCGGCAAAATCACAACAAGTATGCATCTTATTCGAGTGCTATTAATGGAAAAATACGAAAGGCGTAGAATAAAAATGCGTATTATTTTATACCTACTGCGRCATAAGAACATACCGTAAGTAATATACAGAAACAGATTTGTGCACGATTTCTGTAATACGTRTTGGTTATATATTGCAGCAGTTGAAATCGTATTTCGTCTTTAAAGTCCGAAACGGTAAAGAAAAATTTGAAAAAATGTATAGAAAATAAATGTTTTTTTTTTCAAATGTCACAGTCCACATTTTTTAATCTTTTGAAGTTGACCATCAYCACTTTGTACTTATTATAAATATATAATATTATATAGGTAAACTTACCTAAAAATCGATCCGCGTTCTGCTGGTGGTCGTAGTCGGCGAACAACGTCGGCGGCAGACTGCACTGGCTACCGGTGTTGGAACCGTTTGTCTGGTTGATTTTGGCCTCTTCAATGGGCGGTGGTATCAACGTCAAGTCTATTAAGTCCGGCTCCAAGTACAGACTGCTTCTGGGCAACGACCGGTTGTCTTCTTGCAGATTTTTCCACAGTTCCTGCGGTCGACAAACACGACGATATCACATGTTGCCAATATACGCGTTTGAGTTTCTCACACATCGACCCGGGCCGTCACTCACCTGCAAGGCTTCGTGTCCCGAATTCGGTGCCAGCCCTTCCGGACTGTGCAGCCCGAAACTTATGTCCGAGTCCCTGTTGGAATTCCGTTCCCGGTGGGAAGGGCTGGTCGACGGCGTGTTGATGGACTCCGTGTCGCTCTCGAGATCTCCCAAGTTCAACGCTTGCACTGCTGCAGTTATGCTGTCCTCGGAGCCCTTCTATAATATAGATGTAAACATACACACACACACACCACACAAACATACGCTCAAAAAACGGAGACAATGGTTATAWTATGAGACTTCGATCGACCGAAATATATTACGCACTTGAGCTAGTAACAGTAGCGAATCGCTGTGTTTGAGCTGTCCCAGGTTGGTAGGGGGCGGTGGTAACGACACCGAACCGTCGGACGATATGTGAGAACCGTCCGAGTCGCTAGACTCCCGCTGATGTCTGTTCAGATATTGTTCAGAGTTTTCCACCAACTCTTGCATCTCGGCCACTCTCCTCAGCACCTCTTCGTTATGGGTGTCTACACTGCTGCTATTGTCGCTTTCCAATATTTCCATGGAAACCACGCTTTGGACGTCGATTCCTGATTTATCTTTTATACCCCCATTCGATTTGTATCCTAAATGGCCATTTTGATGTTTTTTTAAAGACCTACGAAAATTATATTATATTAAATGATAACGTAGTATTGGTAGGTACGTGTTTAGTGCTTATCAAATTTATTTCAAAAACTATATGAATAAACACTTACATTGTGTTCATATTGTTATCTACATTTCCATTTTGCATGCCAGTCCATATTGTTCTATTTAAAGATCCGTAATCATTGGGTTTGAGCTAAAAGAAATTACTGTTAAAACGTCTAATCGTTTATAATATATATATACTGACCATTTCATGYTTGAATGGAGTGTACATCGGACAAAAAGAAAAATTAGTCAATTTTTCTTGTTCTTGAGCGTGCATAGTCGACGGGCCGTAACTCCAAAGTGACGGTTTAACAATATGATGAGAATAATATTGTGGTGCTAAAACAATAATTTATATTAAGTTAATTTTGCTGACAACAAATTAGTAGTTTGATATTTAGGATAGTAAACGGAATTATATTATATTATATATATAAAAATATTTAAGTTATTTTTTATATTATTTGATTTTAAATGCTATTAGATATATTTGACGTTTTCCACAAAATAAATTAGTATACTAATTAAAAAGAATTCCGTGTTGTCAGTTTGTCACTAGTACACTTCTATTGACACTTCCACATTGACAAATTATGTACAAAATAGATATTAGTTATATCTCATTTTTCTATGACTTTTTCATATTTTTTTGATTAATTATTTTTATAATCGATATAAATATGAATTTTTAAAACAGTTATTTGCTTACCACTATCCGTATGTAATAAATCACCTTCCCGGTCGATCGGCAAATTCATGGCCATCAAAAGTTTAAAATAGCCTTTTAAAACAAGTATAAATTCGTCGGTATCGCGGTCCTCCATACAAAAGTTGACTTCCTGAAGAAATATTCATTCAACGTTAATACCAAACGATAAAGTTTTTCAATAGCTATTGTGTTTACCTTTTGTACTGTGTTTTGTAAATACAACGTCACCGTACTTGAAATTTGATCGTCTTTTTGTACTTTAACCATCGTTACTTGTTCAATATCTGCCAAAGGCACTGGCTGCAAATAAAATCAATAATATTCAGTAAATAAAGGCGATAATTTCGTGAAAGTTTATAAACTAATCCTTATTTCCACTTAACATCGATTGAACAATACGTTAAAATAAATTAAATTTTKTTCATATTGAGCAAACTGTTCCGGAACTTCGTTGAAAATAATTACAATAAAACTTTAGTCTATATTACATATTATATTAACGCGTATCACGGTTTATATTTTATACCAACACAAAYAAGGTGCCAAGCGAAGCAAAAATACTTCTTGTTTTCTATGTCCGACATATTTTTTTGTACGCAGACGATAGGAATTAAATTATGAAACACTTACCATACTGTTGCGCAGTCCCACGATCTGACTAATTCCCATTTTAGGACTGACTAGAATCACTGTTTCCAAATTGYAGTCCTGTCGYGTTACACACAATAAGATAATCATTAATTATTTGTTAAAATTACCTATATTGAATTCACTTGATCTATTGTAAATTCACTTACGCGGACATTGGTCGAAAAACATTTTGCGCCGTAACTGGGCAATTCGGAAATGATGGTCAAGTAGTAAAGTTTCGCCTGTAACGCCGTAAGTGTTTTGTAATTGGTACCCGTCATTGTTTGGTTGAGTTTCAACAAATGTGTTAGTAACTTCCGCAATTCCTTCCGTTTCATCGACTCCATGAGCGATATAGGCACAAACTTTTCTAATCCAAACTCTCGCCTAAATAATAAATGGCAGAAGATTAATAATTAATAATTTCGTACGGATTATTGATAGAATCACACTTTTTTTTCACATTTAATTATTGATGAATCAACCATACATAATATTTATTAACATTGTAGAATGTACTTACTCGATAGCTTTGACTGTGACTTTACAATAGGGTATATTATTGGCCATAGCATGTTGGTGGATATGTAATGCGGCTAACCGCAAAGCTATGTCGTACTTGAGTTCCGGGGCATAGCGCTCTTGAACCACGTCATTACAACACTTCAGAAGGAAAAAAAAGATTGAAGTCATGATGAGAGCGATTTCGAGTATTATATCAATCGGGCTGGGTAAAACTTACTTGCAAGTACAAGTATTCAAATGCGTTCAGATCTTTTTGAGCCAAATCGCAAGCGTCTCTGGGTACGAATGCCACTCGGAATAAACATCTGAGATTGTGGGATCCTGGCCTCGACGCAACCTTTTGGCACGAAATTATCGATGTATTCAAATGGAATTATGTAAATGATATAATATAACTGAGACACTTACCCTTGCCAAAGTGTGCTCGGGGTCCAGTAACGTGAGTTTATGCCTACGGAGGCTTTTGACTTGTTCGAGAACTAACGCAAAGTGTTCTCCGGCCTTAATGCACAGTTTGTTTTGCAACGAAGCCACGACATCCTTTACTTTAGTCGTGGAGTCGTATTTGAATGATTTGGTTTGTCCATTTTCCAGGAACACTTTGAGCACATTAGGTAACAAGGCTATGTTCGGGTCACCTCCACTGAACGCAGACACCTTCATAATAATAATACAATACTATATTATATTACATTAATAACTATGTATAATAGGTACATAAACGGTTTTGTTCGTTTTCGATAATATCACCGTAATACACGTATTGTAAAACGTAATAATATATAAATATCCACGCCTAATATAAGTCATCTTCATCCGTGAATAATGCGATTATATTATCATATTATTGTCGATCGATTTATTCAAAAAGCGACTTCACCGGATTTAGCATTATAACTTGTGTGTTGTGTGTA